TTTAGGACTTTTATGATGAATCCATGCTGAATTTTGTCAAAGGCATTTTCTACATCTATTGAGATGTAATTTTTGTCCTTGAGTTCATTTATATGTTTTATGACGTTTATTGACTTACTTATATTGAACCATCCTGCATCTCTGGAATAAAGGTTACTTGATCATGGTGGATGATCTTTGTGATATATATCTATATGAAGTTTGTAAGTATTTTGAGGAGAATTTTGCATCTGTGTTCATTCTGTGTTCATTAAGCATATGGGCCTGTAGTTTTCTTTTTTGGTTGGATCTTTACCTGGCTTTGGTATTAGAATAATGCTGGCTTCATAGAAGCAATTTGGGAGTTTTCCCTCTTTTTCTATCTTTTTGTATAATTTAACTAGTATTGGTTGTGGATCTTCTTTAAATACCTGGTAGAATTTTGTTGTGAATCCATCTGGGCCTGGGTTTTTTTTTTTTTTTTTTAATTGGGAGGTTTTGTATTACTGTTTCAATTTCCTTATGTTATGGGTCTGTTTAAGCTGTTGATCTCTTCTTGGTTTAGCTTTGGTGAGTCCCATGGTTTTAGATACCTGTCCATTTCTTTTAGGTTTTCAAATTTAATAGAGTATAGATTTTTAAAGTATTCCCTTGTAATGTTCTGGATCTTTTAGGTATCTATTATAATGTTTCTCCTTTCATCTCTGATTTTGTTGATTTGGATTTGCTCTTTCTTTCTTTTGGTTAACTGGGTAAGATCTATCTATCCTGTTTAACTTTTCAAAGAACCAGCTCTTAGATTCATTGAATCTTTACATTGTTTTCTTTGTTTCTATTTCATTAATTTCTGCTCTGATTTTTGTTATTTCTTCTTGTCTGTTGTGTTTGATTTAGGGGAGCAGAAAAAGGAAGGAGTTCAAAGTTAAGAAATAAGAACCAGAGCCAGACCCGCAACAGGCAAGGCATATGTTCCTTTATTCAAGAAAACCCAGCAAAGGGCCTCTGCCATCTGCAGAAATAGGCATCAGCAAAGAAAGGCGGAGTAATCTGGACTTATATAGGAACTCTGCTGAACCCAGCTGCAGGAATTTGCTCAGTGCCAGTGACCTTGGGGTAACTGAGGGTCTTCTTCCTGAGATTATTTCTCAGGATGGGCAAGCGAGTTATCCTGTGGCACCAAAAGATATAAGTTGGCCCTGTAAACAGTCTCTCACCCAGGGAAGTGACCAGTTGATAAGGATTGAGCAAAGGCCTAGCCACCAATTTGGGTCATTTGACTCATCTTGAGGAATTTATGTCCTCATGGCTTCCTTTAAGGAAGCTTATGACTCTCCTGAAATATACACATTCTATCATGCTGCATTAGGATTTAATTTCCAGAGTCTTGAGTTGCAATGTTAAGTCATTTATCTGTGTTATTTCTGATGCTTTAGTGTAGGCACTAAGAGCTATAAACTTCCCTCTTAGGACTGCTTTTAAAGTGTCCCAGAGGTTTTGTTGTTTTGTATTATCCCTTTCGTTTAGTTCTAGGAATACTTTTATTTCTTTCTTAATTTCTTCTTTGACCCATTCATCATTCAGGAGTGTGTTGTTTAATCTTCTTGAATTCATGTAATTACTAGGGCTTCTTCAGTGTTGATTTTAAGCTTTATTGTGTTGTGGTCTGATAGAATGTATGAAATTATTTGTTTTTTTGTATTTGTTGCAGTTTGTTTTGTGCCCCAGTATGTGGTCGATTTTTGAGAAAGTTCCATGGGGTGCTGAATAGAAAGTGTATTCTTTGGTGGAATGTTCGGTAGATGTCTCTTATGTCCATTTGATGTATGGTATCATTTAGTTCAGATGTCTCTCTGTTTATTCATTGTCCAGTTGGCCTGCCAAAAGGAGACAGTTAGGTATTGAAGTCCCCTACTAATACCGAGTTGGGGTTAATCTGTGTCTTGAAGTCCTGTAGTACTGTTTTTGTGAAATTGGGTGCACCAGACTTTGGTCCGTATATGTTCATGATTATATCTTCTTGGTCAATTGTTTGCTCCTTTGATCAGAATGAAGTGACCCTTTTAATCTCTTTTTAATAGTTTTAGTTTGAAGTCTATTTTGTCAGATATTAGAATTGCAACCCCTCCTTGTTTCTTAGTGCCATTTGCTTAGAATATGCTTTTCCATCCTTTTACCTTGATGTAGTGCTTGTCCTTGAAGGTGAGATGGATTTCTTGCAGACAACAGAAGGATGTATTTTGTGTATTTCCACAATTATATCTTCATTTAGTTTCTTTTTGTTGCCCCTTGGATATACTTATTCCTTTTTTCCATTCTTGGTATTGCTTCAAGTGTTCTCTGAAGGGCTGCTTTTGTGAACATGTATTCTTTCAGCCTATTCGTGTTATGGAAGATTTTTCTTTCACCTTCAACTATAATAGACATTTTTGATGGGTAAAGTATTCTGGGTTGGCATCTATGGTCATTTAGAACTGGGAATACCTTGGTTCAGGCTCTCTGGCTTTCATAGTTTGCAGTGAAAATTCAGCTGTAATTCTGATGGGTTTTCCTTTATATATGACTTGTTTTTCTTTTGCAGCTTTCAGTATTCTATCTTTGTTCTGTACATTTAGTGTTTATTTTATTTTTTGAAGGTTTCTGATAATACTATATTCTGAACATACAAAGGGTACAAAATGAATTTTTTCCAGAATATATCAAAGGATGGTGCCAGTCTATCATTGTTTGCAAAGCACCTTCAAATACTGTTACTATAGGTCATTTTGTCTCTTAATTAAAGTAAGACACCATATGTCCGTAGTTTTGGCCTGTACTGAAACAAGGGGAAAGAGGGTCCCCTAGAGGGTTCTTAGTCTCATTCATAAAAGAACTGAAGAATGGACCCCAACGACAGAAAACAGACAGACTTTCAGAGAGCTGCATGACTGTGGCTGGTCGAAGTTTTGCGGAGTTCTGCATTACAAGACAGGATTCCAGGCATGAATTGCTACCTCATTAATGCACCAGGTAGTCCACCCAACTGTTTAGCATAACTGAAGGTGAGCCTGCCTTCCTAGTGGTGGTTCTATCACCAGGTGATTGACCAGTGAGACTGGAAAGGTGGGTCCTCCAACAGATAGACTAGGGATTTTATTATTTTTATTTAATAACCACATGATTAGAAGAAGCATTTCATTTCAGCTTTAACATATTCAATAACAATTTCCAGAACAAAGATACATCTCTTTCTAAAGTGGCTATAAATTTTTAGGTTCACAGTTGAATTAATACAGTTACAGTAATATAATACTGAACTCAGTATAAACTCTGTAAGACATAAAATTGAATGAGTTTTTAACCTTTAAAAAAGATCTCCATTTCATTTTAAAATATAGTGTTTTCTACAGATAGACTCATTTTTAATGCTACTAACACTTAGATGTTTGCACATGCGTCTCTAATCTCTACATATCTGATTATTACTAGTCCCAGTCAGTTACACTTGGATCCTTGGCACCTGCGTATGGACAGAAAGTCATCAGGTAGATTTCAATGGTAATGTTTATCACCTCTGCTAATTAACATGAAGTAAATTTTATAGTCTTGAACAGTTAAAGTTATGGGGCCTAGTGTTCTCACTATGATGTGCTATGGGGAGTTTCCTTTTTGGTCCTGCCTATTTGGTGTTCTCTGTCCTTCTTGTATTTGTATGGGATGTCTTTCCTTAATTTTTAGAAATTGTCTTCTACAATCCTGTTTAAGATCTGGTCAACACCATTAACCTGAAAGTCTTCTCCTTCCTCTATGCCTATGATGCATAAAGTTGGTCTTTTCATGGTGTCCCACATTTCCTGCATATTCCATTACTGTGTTCTTTTAAATTTTTTATAATCTTTGCTTGAGGGGTCCAGTTCTTGAACTTTATCCTCCCACCTTGAGATGCTCTATTCTCCATTTCATTTATTCTATTGGTGGCTTTCTCCTGTTGTTTCAAATTAACTTATTGTGTTTTCACTTCCTTCTTCATTTCCAGCCTGAGTTTTCTTCAATGTTTATTTTTTGTGAATTCAGTCAGAAGTTTATCCCTCTCTTCTTTTAGTTCTTTGATTTGTTTGTGTGTTCTTTAAATTCATTGAATTCTTTGATCATGTTTATGATTAGTATTTTAAATTCTGTGTCCTGGGTTATCTCTAGATGGTTCTCCTTTTAGATCTCTTCTATAAGACTGGTGGCTATTTGTTGGGATCATAGTATTTTGGTTTTCCGTGTTATTATTTTTTCATTGTGATTTTGGCATGTGGATTTCTTTTGTTGTGATTCTGGTATGAAACGCAAACCTCCTTTTGTTGACTTGAAATCTACTTCTGTTTGTATTATTGGTATGGGTTGGTTGTTTCTTATTGTGTATGTAAAGTTGGTTGGTCTAGGCTTCAGGTTCTCTCTTTGATTGTACGTTGGAAGGAAAAGATGGTTTCAGTCCAGCTACTCAGGAGGTCTTGCAGAGTCCCAAGTCAGGTGCCAGTCAGGTACTCTCAGGTTTCCTCCTAAGGTCTGGTCCCCTACTAGTGAGCAGTCAGAGCACAATTTGGGAAGCTAGCTAAGGAGAAGCCCAATGTAGGCACTTCTGAGGCAGTCTGCTAAGGTCCAGGCCTCTACTGAAAGGCAGAGAAGCCTAGCCCTGGAGCAGTGGGAGGGGCCACACTTGGTCCCAATGCAGGGGCATGGGGACACTTACCACCAAAAGGGGGCCAGATCCAGGCACTCTTAGGCGGTCTGCTAGAGTCTGGGCCTCTATTCGTCTCCAGACTCTGATTTCATAATTTTCTGTGAAGAGATGTTGCTTGGTCAGGGAAACAACTCAGTAAAGTTCTTGCCCTGCAAGCATGAGGACCTGTGTTTGGATTTCCAGCACCCATATGAAAAGCTAGCATGGTGATATATGCCTGTAATCCCAGTGCTGGGGAGGCAAAAGACAGGAGGATCCCTGGGTCTCCAAGACCTATCTGTTTCTGACTGGCTTCTGATACATGTTTTCTTTTCAGGCTGTGTACAGTAGAAGCTCTGAGATTGAAGAACTGAAAGCCATTATTGAAAATTTGCAAGAAAACCAAGAACAGTTACAAAAGGATAAAACAGAAGAAATTGAACAGCTCCACGAAGTCATTGAGAAATTGCAGAGTGAGCTGACTCGCATTGGCCCTGTGGTGCATGAACTCAGTGACCATCGGCCTGGCAGTCTCCACAATGAACTGTACTGCTTCCAGGCAGAAAGTCTGGGTGGACAGGCACTACAGAATGAACTGGAAGCTGCACTTGCAGCCAAAGACGCCTTGGGTCAGCTTTTGACTAACCAGGCACATGGGCACAACCAGGCCCTGGAGGCACTGCAGCAGCGCCTGCAAGATGCAGAGGAGGCTGCTGCACAGCGCCTGGCTGAGCTAGAACACTGTGTGGCCCTCAGGGAGGCTGAGGTTGAGGGCATGGCTTCCCGGATCCAGGAGTTTGAAGCTGTTCTGAAGACAAAGGAAGCAATCATTATGCAGAGAGATTTAGAAATTGATACCATGAACAAGAAGAAAGTGGCCCATTCCCTTGAGCTGGAGGCCATCCTTTTAGCTTTGGTGCGTTTCCGCCATGCCCTAGAGCAGCAGACTGTGGCTACCCCAAATGAACCTCCAGAACTACAGCAGCTGCGAGTGCAGTGTGTTCGCCTCAGCCGCCAGCTACAGGTGTTACATCAGCGGTTCCTGACATGCCAGATGGAGCTGGACCAGCAACAAGCTCTTTTTGTCCCTGGTGGCTGTCCATACCCTTGTGCAGATATACAGGCCAAATGTGATGATCAGTTGCAACAGGGCACTGTCAGCAGGGGACAGACCTTGACTCCCAATGGCCAGTGTCCACAGGTAGGCCTCATTCCCTGGGGGCTACAGTAGATAACCTTCTGCATCTGGGAGCCATAGGCATTCAGGGAGAGCCTACTGGGGCTCAGGCGGGGATGCTGGGTTATTTTTACTCCTCTCTTGTTTCTCTTTAACTTTAGTGGGTTTTCCTCTCCCTCTCCCTCTCTCTTTCCTCTCCCCCTCCCCC